AAATGGGTCCTAGTTGAATTACTTTCATCCATATAAAACAGAACTGTCCAGTAATAATATGAGTCATGCGTATAATTTTCTAGTAGACACATTTAAAAAAGTGAAAAGAAACAAGGGAATTTAATTTTAATAATACATTTTATTTAATCCAATATATTAAAATATTATTCTAATGTATAAACAGTATAAAAATTATGAATGAGCTATTTTGTATTCTTTAGTCCTTTTCATTCTTTTTTATGTTTGAAATCCAAGGTGTATTTTGTATTTAAAGTATTTCCATTTGCACTGGCCACATTTCAGGTGCTAATAGCCACATCGTACCTAGTAGCTACCATATTGGACACTGCAGATATGGAGGTCGGACAGCTGAAATTTTTGTTGTCTTCCAGATAAAAATAGAAAGTGACACTTCCTTGAAACCATTTTGGGTTCTAGATATGGTCTTATAAAGGGTAGGACCTTGCTGTTACAAGTGAATAGATTTAGAAATGTGTTTTTTGTTTTGTCTTAGTTTTTATGGAGATAAAAAATACTTTTATGTACAGTAAGTTATACCATCTATGATTTTAATATCATGCTTTTTGTTTTCTGTAGGAATTTTACAATGAATTGGCTCCTGTGTCAAGAATCCCTGCAGGCACCATCTCAAGATTTTTTTTTGCGATTGACACAGTCTTCTTTATTACCCTTCTATATTTTAGTGTTAATTATTTGTTTTCTTTCTATGATGCAAGTTATTTTTAGGAGAATTAAGTAAGTACCTATGAGAATCAATCACATTGCTAACTAATACATTATGAAAATAAACTATTTTTAATATCCTTCCAATATTTGTGTATTTGTTTTAGAATTTCTAGATCCATTCTCTTGTTATCAACATGTAAAATATCATAAGTTAACCAGCTAAATTTCAAATTTTTTATACATCTAAGTATATAATGTCTAAATTTAATGTAGGATTAATACTGAGTTAAATTGTTACAGACTTAATTTACTAATTTAGTCATATTTTTACTTAATGTTTTTTCTATATAACTTAAATGAAGCTAGTAGTGTTAAGTGATTTTAAATTATGAAGACTTCCAAAATATTTTTGTCATGTTTAAAAGTAGGTTGTGTGTAGTATTTTAATTTTAAGAACTTAGCTATTCAAATTATGATTTAACTATATTGATTTAGTAACCACTAGTTGAGTGATAATTGATCTTGGAAAAGGAACCTAAAAATATATTTTTTTAATTTTTTAAGATTTATTTATTTATTTGAGAGCAAGAGCGCACAAATGAGTGGGGGCAGGGGCAGAGGGAGAGAGAGTCCTAAAGCAGATTCCCCACTGAGCATGGAGCCCCACGCAGGGCTCAATCCCAAGACCCTGAGATCGTGACCTGAGTTGAAATCAAGAGTCGGCTGGTTAATTGACAGAGCCACCCAGGCACGCCCTAAAAATTGTTTTTATCATATTTCCTGAACTTTCATATTTAGTCTTCACAGAGTCCATTGTCTTCAGGTTTTAAAAACCATTTCAAAGACTTGGAGATGTGTAAGTTAGATATTTGACTAACAATATACTTTCAAATTTCAAGGACCACCTATATTTTTTTTTTTATGAAGAAAGTTAAGATCTTTGATTTTTCAAATACGTATTTTCAAAATAGTAAAAAACATATTTCCTTTGTGTAGAGGCAAGTCCTTGAAAGAAACTATTACTCTTGAAGATGGACGAATTGGAGGAAGGCCAGAAATAATTTATCATGTGATTCACACTATTTTATTGGGCTCTCTTGCAATGGTTATAGAAGGGTAAGTGTACTTTATTGGATCTATTTCTTTTTACAAAGAATTATCCTTTCTAATGCTAATAAGTGGATACTTTCAAGAATATATTTATGAAACTATAAAAACTCAAAATCTACAAACTTTCTTAACCTAACTGGAGTTTATGGAGGTTGTTATAGTACAATGAGCTGACATTTACTTATTCACTCATTTGTTCTAAAACTATTGAATTTCTTCCAAGGGCCAGGCATTGTACTAGGTGCTGGAGGTACTGTGGTGAACAAAAGTGGACACACAATCTCTAAACTTATGTGACTTATGACTTATGTTAATGGAGGTAACAAATATTAATCACACAAAAATAAAATGACAACTTTGATAAGTGAAATAGAGGTAAATGAGCTCTGAGGCTAAGGGTTCAATAAATGATACCCTTTTCTTTGAAGTCTGGACTCAGATGAAAAATAAGACATAGGAGTATAGAATGATTTTGAACACCCAGTTTCAGTTTGAGGAGGGGCTTTCCCCACACCAACAATAAGCCATTGTTCAGGCACCAGCTGAGTGTCCTACAATTATAGTTTGACTTAATTCTGGCACTATCCACCTGGAGATAGCATCAGATTCCACAGTTCAAGGGTTCAGTCCTACAAGATTCCACCCCCCCTTCAGGTGCCAGTTGCAAATCCAGGTTATCACCTGTGCTTCTGACCAAGGCTATAAATCAGAAGTTCCCAAGACCCTCTCCTTGGGTTCAATTAATTTGTTAGAGTGGCTCACAGAACTCAAAGAAATATTTTACTTACTAGATTATCAGTTTATTATAAAAAGATAGAACTCAGGAACAGCCAGATGGAAGATATGCATAGGGCAAGGTTTGTAGGAAGGGGTACAGAGCTCCCTTTACCTCTCTAGGCATGCCACTCTCTCCCAGTCTCCATGTGGTCAGAAGAACCCAGAAGTTCTCCAAACCCTGTCCTTTTGGGTTTTTATGGAGGCCTCATTACATAGGCATGTTGATTAAATCATTGACCATTGGTGATTGAACTCAACCTTCAGGCCCTCTTCCCTCCCCAGAAGTTTGGGGCGGGACTGAGAGTTCCAACTCCCTAATCACATGGTTGGCACCACTGGCAACCGGCCCCATCCTTGGGTACCTTCCAAAAGTTAACCATTAACACAAGAGCCACCTTTCCAATTTCATCACTTAGGAAATTCCAAGAGTTTGGGAAGCTGGGAGCCACGAGCCTTACAAAGACCACATATATGTGAGAAATATATTTGATCATCTGCATGATTCTGATTCTGATAAAGGTTGCATTAGAGAATACTTCATGTATGACCAAAGGGCTCTACTATTTTCCACCCCAAATTGAGCTTAGTCCTCAAACTTCAGGCCATCCCTTTTGAATGGGCAGAGCCTTGGTAAGTTTATGCACTTATCGACACCCACCGTGCAAAAGTAAGATACAAAATGTGGAAGCCTAGAAATGTTTGAGCTGGGTATGCTCAATTCTTTCTCTTGCATGCAAATCAGATAAATCACTGCCATGAGGAGGAGCCATTAAGGTTCTGAGGTGGAGGGTTAGGAGGGGAAGCAGGGAGAAATGAAGAGTATTGATCCTAGTATAAGATTTCTCAAGTTAAATTTCCATTAATTATGAATATAGATACTGAATCACAGTCATTATAGCAGTACCCATGGTGTTTTCCCCAACAGAAAGCTTAGCTATTTTCTTACTAATTTTTTATTTTGAAATACTGTTTATACACATCACAACTTCAAAGTTACAGTTATTACTAGATCTGCATTTAATGTATTAAGAAGTGTAAATATTGCTGTATAGGAATTTATTATTTGTTATCAATATTTCAATATAATTGGTTTCTTTGTAGGCCTATGTATTTTATGCATTTACAAACATTTTCTTTTTTTTTTTTCAAGATTTTTTTTATTTATTTGACAGAGAGATAGAGAGAGGGCACAAAGAGGGGGAGAGGCAGGCAGAGGGAGAGGGAGAAGCAGGCTTCCCACTGAGCAGGGAGCCCGATGCGGGACTAGATCCAGGGACTCCAGGATCATGACCTGAGCCGAAGGCAGACGCTTAACGACTGAGCCACCCAGGCGCCCCAAACATTTTCTTATAAGACATTCATAGACTATCAGATTGCCAAACCCATGACTAGTGGGAATCTCTTTATTGAAACATGAAGCAAGAATGGTGGTTCACTCTAATAATTAGCATTCCATAATGCCTAATAAGTGGGATGAAGAAATGTATTAAGCCATGAATATTCTGAGTGATTCACGTTTTGATTTTCATTTCATTGCCTTGTAGTAGTAGAATTTTGGCGCATGCTTTGCCTTTTTCCCCCCCTTTGTACTCTCTCAGTTTTATTTCTCTCTGCAGAAAAACTTTTTGTTATTGCCACCATTCTTTATTGTTGGACGTACTATTTTAAATTCAAAATCCTTTTTCTGAACATGTAATCTGCATTGTTCTATTATTCATCCTTCTTTAATTTACTCACTAGGCTTATAATACTGTAGATCACCTATTCATACAAATAAGATGCATAGTCACCCAGAAGGTGCCAGGCACTCTACTAAGTAGAGAGTAGGGATTAAAGAAATACAAAACTGGGGCGCCTGGGTGGCTCAGTCGTTAAGCATCTGCCTTCAGCTCAGGTCATGATCCCAGGGTCCTGGGATTGAGCCCCGCATTGGGCTCCCTGCTCCGTGGGGAGCCTGCTTCTCCCTCTCCCACTCCCCCTGCTTGTGTTCCCTCTCTAGCTGTGTTTCTCTCTGTCAAATAAATAAATAAAATCTTTAAAAAAAAAAAAAGAAAGAAATACAAAACCTACTCTTTCTTTTCAAAGAGTTCCTACCTTAGGTAAGTAAACCAAGAGTTAGAGCAAAGTAAAGTACTATGAGAAAGGTATACAAAGGGTGCTTTGGTCACTCAGAGGAGAGGTACTAACTCAATTGTAGAGGGTGGCTAGAGGAAGTCAGTTTAAGGAAGATTTCCTATATGGGGCGACAGTCTTCAGAGATAAATAGAGATTGGCCAGGCTGTCCATTTTCTCATGTGCCTCTGTGTGTGTGTGTGTAATTATCTAGACAGAATAAATATTCTTTGGGAACTAATAGTACAAGGTGAATGTAAGGTCAGTATGAGAAATATGTCTGGGGATGCCTGGGTGGCTCATTGGTCAAATGTCTGCTTTCAGCTCATGTCACTATCTCAGGGTCCTGGGATCAAGCCCCCCGTCAGGCTCCCTGTTCAGTGGGGAGCCTGCTTCTCCTTCTCCCTGTGCCTGTCCCTCACCCCCCACTCCTACTCTCTCTCTCTCAAATAAATAAAATCTTAAAAAAAAAATATGTCTGGAAAAATAATCAGGGACCAGATGAAGTGTTTATATAGAAATTTGATACCAGATTTGCTTTTTAGTGAGATCTCTCTGGCAGCAATGATTGAGAAAGGTTTGAGAAAAAAGATTAAAGGAAGATAAGCCAGTTAAGAATCATAATAGAATTTAGAAGTGAGTCACAATGGAAATGGAGGAAAGAGCCAAAACTAAAATATTTGGAGTTGGAAACTGAATAAGTAGCAGTAGGGACTGTGGTGGAGAGACTCTAGGAAGAGTTGCAACTCTGAAGCCAAAAGAGGAGTTTTTAAAGGGGTACATGACCAGGGAGTCGAAGGCAGAGATGTAAGTGTGGACTTCAAGGAGTCTAGCTATGAAGGGAATCAGAGTCTAAGGCAGCACTAGATGGGTGTGCTTGGGTCAGGAGGGAGAAACTTACGTGCATTAGGGGTTGGAAATACTAAGATTGTTCTGCAAACTCTGGCTAGAACACTAATCATATTTAGGGAAGTCATAGGAGAAAAACTGAAAAGGTGAATCAAGACCATATTTTTTGAGGGCCTTGAAAACCATTTAGATGAGTTTTCATTTATTTCAGTAGATTCTGGGGAACCACTAAAGATTTTTTAACAGAAAGTGTCTTGTAATTATGTTTGAAGATTCATTTGGCATTTGGTTGGAGGAGAGTCTAAAGGTAGAGATGTTAGGGTGCCTGGTTGGCTCAGTTGGAAGAATATGTGATTCTTGATCTCAGGGTCATAAGTTTGAGCCCCGCATTGGGTGTAGAGATTACTTAAAAAAATAAACAAACTTAAAAGGTAGAGATGTTAATTAGCCGTTATTGCAATAAAATGAGATGAATACAGAGAAATCAGTGGGTTGGACATAATGGTCTAATCTCTAGAACAGGAAGTTGATGTTCCAGGAAATGTTATATATGTATAATTCAATGTGAATGGTGTTTCCTGGAGTTATAAACCAGACTAGTTTTGATTCTGGCTGACTTGAAAAATAGCAGGAATGAGGAAGTTAGGAGGAGATACTAGTTGACCAGAGAAAACTAATGCAGTTCCTTTGTCTTAGTGACATGTATTCTATATACATCCACTACTTCTCTCAAAGTCCAAGTTAGTATTCATTTTTTTAGAGATTTATTTATTTATTTATTTA